CACCTGAGAACATTCAGGAGACAGTACAGGTTCCCAGATGCAATGACTCACTCAGATTGGTCTTAGCAGACCCTTCTACTGGCAAACTCAGGTTAAGCAGAAAGGAGTGATCATTAGAAACAAATTAATCGTGGTCTCTTGATTCTGGCCAGCTACTCTGCAAAGTCTGGCCTCCTGCACCTCTTGGGATGAGGTGGGGCCTCTTGCCAAGGCAAAAGGGAGCAAGGGCCTCTGTAGGGGAAAGAAGGGCTGCCCAGGGCTGGTATGAGTTGTTCATGGGGCAGAGTGACAGGGAGCTGTTATCACTGGGCACCCAGGGTCTATGGGTCTTGGACACCATGGCCCCCAAGGTTTAAATAATAGAAAAGATCAAAATGGCTGGATTTAAGCATCTCTACGTGGTCATTGCCACTGGAGCCTCTGCGCTGCATGGGCCTCTGGCAGGAGGAGGGGGCCAGAGTCAGAAATCAATTATAGGCAAAGCCTGGCTTCCTCGGGGCTGGTGCCAGGGAGAAAAGCCAGCTGCCCCATCACTGTGTCCAGGAGAATTTATGAGTTGGATCTTGTTGGGGGTGGGTGGTGAAGGTTGAGCTCTCCAGGAAGCAGACTCTCAGAAGGAGTTTATGAAGCAGGACGCTTAAGAGGAATGCCTTGAGACAAACACCTGTGGGAAACAGGGGGGAAGGCAGGATGGGGCAGGGGAGAGGTGGAGCTGTGATGCGGCTTGACTGACACCACGGAGTTGCTGGAACTCATCTAGCCCCTCAGCATCATTTCAAGTGGGGCTCAGGCAGCCAGGCCTCTGCATCTTACCTCCCTCAGTCATTGGGTGTAAGCCATCCAAAGAAGGTCATGACCTTGGGCAAGACGGCTCTCTGAAGAGAGGCAAAGAACCCTTCTGGGAAGGGGGACATGGGCGGTAACACCCATCATGGTGCTACAGGGTAAGTCCCATTACCAGGAAGTCTTGGACAGTGACGAATGCCATCATGAAACTGGAAACCGCATCCTGATTCTGAAATGAAGAGACAGATGGAGTTCAGGTTAAGTTCAAATCAGATCCCAAACAGCTTCCAGGAGGCTGGGAACAGGATCAGCCCCTCAGGGAATAGCAGGGAGCAGTGAGGACTAAGCAGGGTTCCATACAAGCTGGGTGGAGTACTCTGGGGAGGGCTGGGAATGAGCAAGTAAAAGGAGTATTTATTGTTCCCTCCATGTAGCTGGCCCAAGGACTGCACACCAAGGCTGGGCAGAGGGCTTCATCGCTGAGGCACAGGGTGAGTCCAGACCCCTCTATCCGGGGGAGGGGGACTTGGGAGTGGTTCAGACTCTTCCCTGCTCCTGGCCTGGTCACGATGGAAATTTGCTGAATTCAAATGAAGTGACACATGTAAAGTGCTCAGCCTGCAGTAAGCATCTCTCTGTTGGTGGTTACAATAATTACTATTATTCCATGCAGTGGGGTGAGCTGGGCAGGACAGGGTTTAACACCTCAGGGGGTGCATTTATCAGCCACCTATTTTAATATGCTGTTGGGGCTCCTAACACATTTAGGAGGGGTGCACCTTACATGTGGAACAAAGCTTACTTGTGGTCTTATTCCAGGGCTAACAAGGTCTCTAACTCTTTTCTACCTCTTGATATTGTTATGAAAATGGCTGATTTTCCCAACCATTTATTAATCTATCCAAAACATTTTATCAAGTACATTTTATGTGACTGTGACTATTCTGTGCAAGGAAAAATAGTAGTGACAAAACAGAATTTCCTCCAAAAGGGCTTCTATTTTAACAGGAAAAGCAGGCAACAAAGCGTACAGTAGGTGAGCTGGTGCTAAATACCATGACAAAATATTTTTAAAAGGAAAGGAAATAGGGAATACCGTGGGGTGGGCTGGGTTTGCAAGTTCATACAGCATGGCCAGGGAAGGACCCTGGGTGGAAATGATATTTGAACAGGGACCTGAAGGCAGGGAGGGAATGCGCTCTGCAGCCGTCTTGGGGAAAGCCTGATGGGTGGGTAAAAGGGTAAGGACACCCATCTTGAGCCAGGAGCAAGCATGGCATGTCCCAAGAATAGGAGGGAGGGGGCTGAGCTGGGAGAGAGTGTCGAGGCGTTTACTCTTGGTCTGTGTGAGTCGGGGAAGTCAAGGGAGTAAGGGTGGAGGAATGGCAAGCTCTGATGTCTATTCTAAAATGATGCTCAGGTTCAGGGTAAAGAAACAACCAGAGGGCCAAGAATGGAAGCAGGAAGGTAAGGCAGGAGGCTGTTGCAGTTGCTCTGGGAGAGGTGCTGGAAGTGTGGACAATGCCGTGGATGAAGGAAGACACCTAGGCTTGGAGGCCAGATCTGTTTGTAAGATGCAGGCCATGGGGATTGCTGAAGAATTGGGTGTGGGCTTTGAGAGAACCAGAGGAGTCAGAGTGATTCTGAAGTCCTTGTCTTAAAGAATGGTCAGGTTCCAGTGGCCTCTGACTGAGGAGTTCTTTTTGGACACTTGAAGTTCAATGTATCTCTGGGGCACCAACTGTATACAAGAATCTGGAGTTCAAAAGAGAGATCCAGACTGGTGAAAAATATTTCTGTGTCCTGGTGATACAGATGACATTCACACAGTGAGGATGGAGGGGATCCCCTAGGGCTGTCTTGTCCAATCTGGAAGCCACCAGCCACACTTGGCTACTGAGCACTGGAGATGTGGCTGTTCTGCAGGGGTCATGTTACATGAAAGGGTAACATGCACAGCAGATTTGGAAGATTTAGAGAAAAAAAAGTAAAATAGCCCATTGATAATTTTTATATTGCTTACATGTTGCAAAACTATTTTGATTACATTGGGTTAGATGAAATCTATTATCAAAACTAATTTTACCTATTCCTTGGTACTTTTTAAATGTAGCTATTGGACAATTCAAAGTTATATCCGTGGCTTGTGTTGTATCTCCACTGAAAAGCACTGGCCCAGGGAGTGGAGACGTCATAGCATCGAGCCCTTGTGGCATCCAACATGTAGAGGCTGGGATTCAGGGAGATCTAGCAGAAGAGACTGAGAATGAGAAGCCAGGGAGAAGGAGGAGAAAGAGGAGGTGCAGGAGAAGCCATCAGGAGGAAGCGGTGTCCTCGACCAAGTGAAGACCATGTATGAAGAGGAGACTGACTCTCTGTATCAAATACCTGCTACTGGTCTGGTACAGAATGGACTCAAAACTGAGTATGACATTGTGCACTGTGAAGGCCACCGTGATCTTGATGAGAAGTGCTTTGGAGCAGTGATGAGGGTGAGAAAGCCTGATGGGAGGGGGATCAAGGGAGAAGCAGGGGAGAATAACTGGAGACAGGGCATGTAGACATCCCTTTGTAGGAACTTTGCTACAAATGAGCAGCAGGAAAATCGGGATGATAGCTGGAGAGGAAGGTGGGGTAAAAAGTTTTATTTTCAGCGTAATATCGATAGGAAGCATTTTGTACACTTTCTATGGATAGACATTGTTCTAGGTGCCTTGTATGTATTAACTCATTTAATCCATCAAGCACTCTATGAGGTAGTTACTATTTTGCTTACCCATTTACAGATGAAGAAATTAAGGCACAGAGAGGTTGAGTAACTTGCCTAAGGTCACACTGTAGTTAAGGAACAGAGCTAGGATTTGAACCTCAGTCACATGGCTCTGAGGTCATGCTTTAACCACCATGCTATCTGCATCTTTATACCTGACAAAAATTCAAAGAGAGGAAAACTGATGATGCAGGCTAACTGCAAGAGGATTCCCGGAGATTTTTTTCTTTGGGGAAGGCAAGATGAAATGGGGTGGAGTGGGCAAGCAGAGGACTTGTGTCCAGCCAGAAGGAGGGACAGTGTATGATGCACGGTGCTGCGGGCTGGCATGCAAGTTCCCAAGATCAGCAAGGCCCTCCACTAAATGAAGTGGGGCAAAGAGGTGCTGGTGGTCTGCAAGGGAGATGATCGGTGAGTCAAGAAGACACTGGGGCATTGCCAGGAGCATGGGACCCCTTGAAGCTCAAGGGCATGAGACAGGGTGTAGACCACTTTACTCCAGCCTCTCCTTAATGTTTAAAATGGGAGGTGTCCAGGCCTATCCTGTGCCCCAGGGCTAGTCTCAGATTCCGTCATGGGCCAGCGCTGGGAGACACCCGGGGCCACCCTGGGCTCAGAGGATGCCAGACAGGTGGGATGGCGCAGAGGCAGGGCTGTGCAGGGTGGTGGGAGTTCATCAGGTAGGGACCGGCCTGTAACCAGCTGAGGATGGTTGGAAGAGCCTGGCAGCTCAGTCTCCTGACAGACTGAGGGCTGAGGGGGCTGGGCCTGCTGAAGAGGGAGAGGGGGGGAGTGGACATCAAGAAGAAGGGCCTCCGGGGCTTTGAAGGGGCCCATGGTGGGCTTTTGAATCCCTCCATCCGGGGTCAGCGCACCCGAGCCCCCGTGCTCGCCAATAAAGTGTGTGGGACGGCCTTCAATTATAGAAGCGTAGCCAACCAAATCAGCTTTCAGATAAATTATTTATGCTGAGGCCTGCGAGGGAGGGAGACGGGCTGCATGAGCAACGTGTTCATTTTCATAAAACCCTGCAAAGTTGCAGTGGGCTGGGGAGAGGATGGGGGGAAGAAGAAAGATGATTAGATTATAAGAGGCCTGCTGTAAATAACACACAAACAGGACATTTTGTTTCTTTTTGGGCTGTCTTTTGTATCGTGTTTTATACAACGGAAGAGAGCAGAATACAACGTCTAGGAAATGTTAATGAGGGTTATTTGCTATTTACCTAGGCTAGGGGGCTGAAGAAAGGGCTGGGGTGGAGGTGAGGGGGGTGTGTAGAAGATTGGATTCCATGCAAATACAGACATCAGGGAGTCTGGAAGGCTTTGGAACAGAGCTGGACTGGAGGCCTATCAGGTCCCCGTGGAAAGGGAGAGAAAACAACAAATCCTATGGGCTGGAGGGTGTTTTCCTCCTGCTCAGGGGCCAGCCGAAGGGCCTGGATGGGAGGGAGGGGTCCTAGTGGGAAGACAGGTCAGCCCCAGAGAGCAGGCAGGTTGGGTGACTGGGAGAGTCCCTCTACCCTGAAATCTGGGGGACAATGACAAGCCGGGGTGTCATTTCTGCCTGCCACAGTTTATCCCCACCCCCAACCCATGGGAAAGACAGGTAGAGGTGAGAATAATGGAGCCTGCTTCCCTGGGGAGTTAAGTGTGGTCTGGATGATGACTACAGCCACTTCTTCCCAAATTGACAGCACTCAAGCTTTGGTGAAGCAGGTGACACACAGGCCTCTCTTACTCTGGGTGATGAGATGAGAGGACAGCTGTTCTCCCTTCACTCAAGGCAGCGCTCTGAGGTGTCCAGGAGGCGATCTGCAAATCATCCCACTGAGTGCCCACAGCCGGTTTCTCCTCAGCTCTGCTGCGTGGAGGACTAAGAAAAACAGGCTGCTCGGGCTGGGCTGGGATTTCAAGTTCCCAGGTCATTTCCTCACCCGTGATGCGCCTTTACTTCTCTGTTTTCCTCTAGAGTCACCACTTTGTGGCCAGTTAGACAATCAGGCAAGGCTTCTTGGAGGAGGTGGTGATTGTGTTGGCCTTTGAAGGATAGAAAGGATTTCAACAGGGATGGTAATATTATCATTCCTATTTTACAGATAAGAAGCTACAGCTAAGAAAGCTTCACTGGCTTATCCAAGGTCACTTGGTAAGTACATAATACATTGAAGATGCCAAGCCAGGTGTCCTAATACCGTACCTTATGTTTTTCCTACTATGAGTCTCTTCATTTCCTTACCACTCCAGAGAATGGCAGGGTTAAGAGGGTGTAGTGAGACATGGAACCTTTCTGTGTGGTGGGCTGATTTATATATTCCTGTATTCCCATGGCCCAAGGGTGCTACACTGTGTAACCCAAGAGGGCCACTGCATGAAGGGCAATCCCCTGGAGTTGTGTAGTGCACAACTTGAACATCTGTACCTGGCAGCCTTACCTGTATAGGTTACATGGACATGATATATGTCCAGTATGTATTAATTTGAATGAGTAAATAATGTACATGAAGAACAACAACAAAAATCCTGTATGGGGCCATGTTTTATAACTGTTGTTAGGCAGCTGATTCTGTCAGTTGCCAGTGACAGAATCCTAACTCAAATTGGTTTCGGACACAAGAGAATTTATTATTTTGAGTAACTAAAATGTCTAGGTTCTGGAGGTACAGCCAACTTCAGGCATGGCTGGGAGCAAGGGCCCATAAGATGTTGACAGAAATCTGTTTCAGTCTCTAGACTCTGCTTGCCTTTGTGATGGTTTCATTTTCCCAAAAGATCTCCCCACGAGGTTGCAAACATGGCCTCTAGCAGCTCCGAGCTTGCAGGAACTCTGGCAATAAATGAGTCTTTTTTCCAGTAATCCCAGCAGAAGTTCTGGCTCGAGGCTCATTGGACCACTGTGAGTGACATGTCCACCTGTGAACCAGTCACGGAGGTGGAGGTTAGATGATGTTAGAGGTGCGATAAATTGATTGGCAGGCTTGGGTCTTGGTGGAGGAGGTTGGGGCATGGAGTGCCCTAAACCACATGGACAGAATGTGGAAGAGGTGTGTTCCCTAAAGAAAACTGAGATGCTATTACCAGAAGCAGGGAGAATGGATGTTGGGCAGGAAAAACAACAGATGTCCCCTTCTGTGGCAGAACGCTTTTGTCAAATAAAATCTTTCTTGGAAGCCAGACATGCAAACCAAATACAAACAGGGCTGTCCTGGGGATGCCAGTGTGGGGAAGAGATGTTCGGAGGCATCATTGCTTCCTGAACATAGCCTGTGCATTTTTAATGCCACATTTCTGAAAAATCTGTCCCCCCATTTGGTAATTTATGTCCTCCTTTTATTTACTTGCCTCTTTACCGTAAATTAAATACTTATGTACTGTAGCTCCTACTTTCCTCTTCCCCAGCACAGGGTTTTCTAAAGGGTACGACACAGGCATTGTTCTTCTGAAAGGCTCTGAAACTCTTTGCATGATCAAGTATGTTTAGAAAACATTCCACTTCTCTTGGTGAACTGTAAAGCTTGTTAGCATTTTAAAGGTTCTGAAAAGTCCTGCAGTCATCTGTTGAGCTTCATTCAATTCAGGGTTTTCCTAAAAGAGTTATCCACAAAATCTGCTTTTCTCTTCACCCAGCACTGAAGGATTTGGAATTTTCTGTGAGACATTGCCAGGGAACATTGCACCTGGCATGTTTTTCTGTGCTCACTGGTTTTACGGGTATAGAAAGAGGATTTCCTCCTTCTAGACCAGAGTCTCCTCTGGGCATCCAGACCCTCACCGGGCCTTGGTGAACAGGGTTTTGCTTGAACAAATGAGGAGCAAATGTGGGAGTTAATACTGTGCCCTTGGAAATGATGGGAGAGCTCTTGACTTGGCTCGGATTCTTTTCAGCCCCCAGCCTGGCTGCCACTGGTGCCTTGTCCTGGCTGGCCAGTGAATACTTTTCTCATACCCTACCCATTTCACAGATGAGGAAAGTGAGGCACCACAGACAGGTGCTAGATGAGGAGACTCAGTGCTTCTCTTGCAGAATGTAGGGATTTCTGTAAAGCAGGGAGAGTATGGGTTTGTGTTCCAGCAGGCCTGGCTTGGCATCCCAGTTTATCCACTTACCAGCTGTGTAACTTTAGCCTGCTTACCTCTCCTCTCTGAACTTCATTTGTTCTCATCTTACAACAGAGTGACTAATGATGGTTGAAGGAGAGCCAGCGAGTAACATAGCTAATGGATGCCTGGCTGCAGTGCCAGACTTGGATAGGTAGGGTCATTTGGATGGCATGCCCATCCACTGTTGTTTATCTCCTCAGCCTGTCAGCCTGGAGTAAGCTCAGCTCGGTGCACCACAGGAAGGCGTAACTGGCCACTGGTTCAATCCAGGTCAAGTCCTTTGATAGCACACTCCAGTACAAAGCCACCCATGGACAGAGAGCTGTCTGAGCGGGGCCACAGCTGATGTCCTCTCAGCCACATCCTCTACAAAACCACCCAGCTGCAGCCAGAGAGAGGCACTCGCTTAGTCCCCTGCAGGTAGCAAGGGATGAGTTTTATAAGATTACAGGAGGGTGGGCAGGGAGTCAGGGGCCTGGCTCAGCCAGAACTAAGTGTTTCTGTGGACTTGGATGTGGGTCTTGCCCTATCTGGGCCTCTGTTCCCTCTTCTGTTAACCTGGGGCACTGGACTTACATTCTGTTTCTTCCCCTTTCAGTCCTAGAATCTGACCTTGCTTCTGTGATTTTGAGAGGTCAGGAAGGGACAGTTTGATTGACATTCCAAAGGCCTCGGGTTCTGATCCCAGCTCTGTGACCTTGGGCATTTATTCATGAATTTACTGCCATGCCAGGTGCTGGAGATATTAAAGAGGACGAGACAGGATTATCACTGCAGCATCAGTGAGTCCGCGGGGGGAGGAGATGTGCAAATAGCCACCCCGTGGGGTGGAGGGCGGCACTAGACACCAGAGGAGTCACGTGGTGGGCCTGGAAGGCTGGGCCCAACTGGTCAGGAAAGGCTTTGCGGAGACCTCGGGGAGCCGACACCTAGAGGAGGAGGTGGAGGCGTGGAGGCGTGGGGGCCAGAGGAAGGCGCTCCAGGCTGAAGGCACAGCTTGTGCAGAGGATAGTGGCATGGAAGGGCCCTGTGTGTGTTGTTATCCCCTCTGCTCCTGGGACTCCAGGAGCTCCTTCCTGTGCTTATGTTCTGTGGCATGAGAATTATGGGGGCTTGGGTGTGGAATGAGGTGCTCCCCAGCCTTGAGCTGACAGGGAGTGTGGTGTGGATGTGCAGATGGGGTTCTGGGACCAGAGTTCCTGAGCACAAATTCCAGCCCTGTGAATTTCTAGCTGCCAGGCCCTGAGTGCATCCCCTCCCAGGCTGTGCCCTCAATTTCTCCTCCACCTGGTGGGGATGTTGGTGGTCTCCGGTTTATAGGATTGAGCAAGTTAAGCGTACAGAGTGCTTAGAGCCATTACTGGAAGGCAGTCAATGCTCAATAAACATTAGCTGTCCCTCCCTATTTTAAAAATGAAGAAAAATGAAGGTCTGAGGGAGTCAGCAAGCTGTCTAGAGGGACACAGCCCAGATGCTTGCAGGTCCAGCCTTGTCCTCCCTCCCCTGCCCTTCCCTCCCTGCCTCTCACTTTTACCTCCCTTCCTCTCTCCCTTCTTTCCCCCCTTCCTCTAACTCTTGCACTTCATCCCCTCAACTCCCCCAGCCAACCCCTGAAAGGCCTCTAAATGCCTGGGACCTGCTGCAAAGCTCTTTGATTTGACCAGACCACCGGCGCCTCTGGCTGCCTGGCACCCTGAGTGAACACTCTGCCTCCCACTTTGGGGCCTGTGCTGAGGCCTGGGGCAGAGTCTGGGCCTGGTATCTATTCTACCACCCCCACAACCACTCCCTGCCTCTCCCCTGCCCCGAAGCTCCGAGCCGCTTAGCCGCTTCCAGAGGGAAAGCAGCACCTGGGATCTGTCTTCGGAGACAAGCAGCTTCCAGGCCTCCCCACAGGGCAGACTGAAGTCAGCTCCCTCCCACTGAAAATGAATGGCTCTCACACAGCCGGGTCACCCCAGAACCCCAGCGACTGTGGGCTTCCTGCCCACCCATGGGAGGCTCTTTGGGGCCAGTTTCTGAGCCTGGTAAACACAAGCTTCCTCTCCTTCCTCCACAGAGAGCTGAGAACAATCGCCCACTCTGAACCTGAAAGCCGGTGGAGGCCTGTGCTAATGAGCGTGCAGGTTTCGCTGCCCCCGGAAATCAGGCACTGGCTCTGGGCACTCAGCAGCCGGATGATTGAAAGCCCAGTAGGGCTCCCAGCCCTCCCCCGCCCCCCACTCTCTTTTTTGTGTGTTGTCTGCATCACTGCCCAGACCAATCTATCTCTTCATGCTGAATTTTTTAAAGCCAAATTGGAAAAAAATTGGAAGTAGCCTGCATGCTATTCCCCCGGGCTCCAAATGGGCCCTCCAGTTAGGGGAACAAAATACACTGTTTTAATTTATAATAATAATTATTATTATTATCATTATCCAAAACAATGACAATACCAATAATCCTATGCATGGGTAGGCCAATGTACAGCACATAAAATGCTTTTCCAGCTGTGATTTCATTTGGGCCTCACCCCCCTGTGAACCTGCTCCCGCCCCACCCCCCCAGCCCCTTTGTCTGTAATCCGAGCAGGCCAATTGCCTGTTGACTCTCAGCTGGGGTGGGAAGGCCAGTCTCAGGCTCCCAGGCCCTGCTTTTCCCATGTCCTCTCGAAGGGATCACATTAGCAACACATTTTTTAGCAGACGTGGCAGAGCACCTGCTCTGCTCAGGGAAGGGCTCCGGACCTGTCAGAAGGAGAAGATAGGACTTTGCAATCACTGGCCTCCAGTGAGATGATAGAGAAAGGCCAGATAATCTTAACTCCACACTATAAGAGCTATGCATGGCCTTTGGGAGACTCTGGGCTCAAAAGTTGAAGTCAGCTTGAGGAATGCCTCAAAGGCCATTTCATCCGATGTGGATCACATTGCAGACCTCACAGTTTCAACTTGTCATTGAATTGTCACGTACGTACAGAAAAATACAAAAAGCATGACGGTACAACTCAATGACTTTTCTCAAACAGAACACACTCGTATAAGCAGCCCCCGACTAAGAAATGGAAGCCCCCTTTGTTCTCCCTTCTAATCACTCCTCCCAACCAGGGTGAGCGCCATCCCGACGTGAAACAATGTAGATTAATGCTGCTGCTTTTTATATTCATATGACTGGAGTCATACACACTATGCAGTCTTTTGTGTCTGGCTTCTTTTGTTCGATGTTATGATGTGATATTCAACATCACTGGATACTGTTGTAGATTTTTCATTTCTCTGCTCTGTGATATTTCGCCGTATGAAGATAGTGAAATTTAGGTATCCATTTATCATGGATGAACATTTGGAGGGTTTCAAGTTTTTGGTTATTATGAATAAAGCTGTTTATGAATATCTTGTACTTTCTGGGTTTTTTTGTACTTGTGTGCACATTTCTGATGAGCAAAAACCGAGGAGTGGAAACATGGAATCATTGCATATGAGTAAGTACTTGCAGCTTTAGGAGCTATTGACAAACAGTTGCCCAAAGTGGTTGCACCAGTTTATATTACTGGTTTTTAGGATCTATGTGGCAGTACCTCCAATTCCATGAATCTATAGATCCTTGGATGATCCGATGGAAGCTGTGGAATTTTGCCCCAGAAATACACTTATAATTCTGCGTGTGATTTCTGTAAATTTATGAACCCTGTGAACTCAACCAGGTCCAAGGATTCCTATGAGGCCTCTTGTTCTGAGCTCCAAATTCTAAGGTATGTTGTCCACATTTTGATTCTGGGTTTTAAATTCTTCGACTGGGTGGAAGACTTAGAACTTAACAGGGCTAGGTGCGGTGGCTTGTGCCTTTACGTAATATCAACATTTTGGGAGGCCGAGGTGGGCAGATCACCCTGAGGTCAGGAGTTCAAGGCCAGCCTGGTCAACATGGCAAAACCCCGTTTCTACTAAAAATACAAAAAATTAGCCATGTGTGGTGGCGTGCACCCATAGTCCCAGCTGCTCAGGAGGCTGAGGTAGGAGAATCGCTTGAATCTTGGAGGCAGAGGTTGCAGTGAACTGAGATCGTGTCTTTGCACCCCAGCCTGGTGACACAGCAAGAAAAAAAAAAAAAAAAAAACTTAACAGAGCACCAGCAAATCACTGGCACCAAAAACAAAACAATTTTAAAGAAAAAAACTATCTTTGAAAGAATTTTATGGTTTCACAGAAAGCATGGACATGACATATTCGTCAAAGGAAAAATTATAATGTTGTTGGATGTCGTTGCACATATCTAACAGATTAGAGTTAATTCACTTTACATTATATATGGGAGGCACATAATCTTTTCAAGGCAAAGTGCTTTTAAATGCCTTCACCTGGCCCTGGTGAGCCCATCAATGATGCATAAATTGCATTTGGTCAGTGATTATCCCATGCTGCACTGGGGCATCTGTGTGATGAGGGGTACCTGGCTACTAAGGGCTCCCTGTCCCATTGGATCCTCACCACAACCCTGCCAGGTGGCTGGGCTGTATGTCACCAAGCACATGGGCAACACAGCCCACTGTAAGGGAAATGGGGGCCAAAAGGGTCAGTCAGAGAGAAGCCTCTGCAGGTGAGTGGTGGCTATAGGAACTGGGCTTCTGGCTTAAGAACAGGGGCATGGAAGGAGTGGGAGTGGAAAGCTCCCTCCATCTTTCTGCAAAGCAGCACAGACGAAGAGGGAGCTCGCTAAAGCACAGTGCTGGGATGGACGGTAGAAACTCTATGAAGATAGATTTCTGTTTGATGTGAGAAAGAACATCCAAGTGTTCAACTGTGTAATGATGGAAGCCAGGTGCTTGAGGGGTAGTGAGATCCTTGTCCCTAGAAGCATGTAAGCTAATGCTGGATGGTCACTTGATAGGGACGCTGATAAATTAAATAATCTAGGTTTCCTTCAACCCTGAGCTTGGTCATCCTCAGAATCTAGGTCTCCTGATCCCACCACGTGCTCTTTCCTCCTTGCCGCTGATCTAATGGAGCACAGTTTGCACAGTGCACTGGCCCAGCCTGGGCAGCAGGCAGGAGCCTGCATGAAATAACCTGTGCTGCAGTCAGAGTGACAGAGTGTCTGTAGAAAGCATTCAAGATCTCCCAGCAGCTGTGACTAGTATGAGCAGGTCTCTGTGGATTCAGGCAAATATTTTCCATTTCATAAAATGTGGTACAATGTTACCTCTGTGTTCTTGGAAAAACTAGCATGGGGGAGGAAGTGTTAACTCGATGGCCTTGTTCCCTGAGCGCTGGTGATCGTCTGCCTTGGCAGTTTCCTGAGGCCTCCCACCCCACTGGGCCCCATCGCGGGGGAGAGCTGGATGAGCCCACTGCTGCTGGTCCATGGTCGGAGGTGGGTGTGGAGAATCCCTGACCACCTGAAGGGGAAATAGAGTGCAGAGAATAACTGGAACCCTAGGAAGGAAGAACTCTGTTCTGTTCCCATTTCTGCTATGGCCCCTCAGCCATGCCCCTCCCTTCATCATCGCTCCCTCTGCCCTCTGCTGGGACTAGTGCAGTGGTCTCTTCCTGGAGCTCACCTCCTCCAGTCCCTCCTTATTCTGAGCCAAGAATGCCACATGCTTGGCATGGCTACCATACCACTCCCTTGCCCCTACAGACTTTACCATCAGTCTCAGGATTCCTCCCAGACAGCCTCTAATAAATGATTAATTCACCTGAGTGGGCAGTGACAGGGAAACTGATTTGCCAAATGTACCTCCTCCATGCTTTCGACAGAGCACCCTTTCAAAGAACAGAGCAGAGCTCAGATGACATCATCCCTCCCTGCCTCCCCGCCTCCTACTTCTCATCAGAAGCACACACGAAAATAGCTTTCCAGGTTTCTCATGGTGCTTCATAACAAACACCAAACTCAACTGCATGGCACTGGAAGCTTGTGTCAATTTGATCTGGTTGTGGAATCTTTTCTTCCACACAGCTTGCGATGCTTGCTCAGTTTTCTTTTGGAAGATATGAAGAATGGTCACACTACTCCATCCGACCCCATCCAAATGCTCTGCGCTTCAGAGGCCAAAGACATGCTGTGCTGTCCCATCTCTCAGTGACTGCCCAAGTTGTGCCCTGGCCTGGAGTGTCTGTCCCACATTCCCCAGCATACAGAGATGTCTGGGCTTAGGGGGATTCCCTCTTCGGCTTTCAGTGATGTTTGCTGCATGGACATTGCTGAACTTGAAATAGGATCTGAGCCTCAGGGTTTCCCCGAATATCCAGTTCCTGCCCCTGCCCTGGATCAAGGGTAATTGTGGAGGGCTCTGTGGTCCAGGAGCCCAACAAGGCCCTTACGGTACAGCCTCTTCCTGCCAATCCAGCCTTGCTGCAAGGTCCAGATAAGCCCCTTACGTGGGAGCTTGAGCAGAGATCCCAGTTTGTGTTTAGTAGAACAGCTACAGTAAAGCTTGCAATCCGCAGGTGTTAGAACACTCATTGGAGTCTCACTAGCACAGTGGACACCTCTCATTAGGGTGTCATTAGCTAGCTGCCTCATTTGCATGTTCAGATCAGGCTCAGGCTTCATGACAGCAAGGACTATAGAAGGACCAGCAGGGCCGTGAAGACCCCTGCACATACTTCAGTCTTGAGGGGGACCACACAGGGGTCGGTGACAAGGGCAGAATTAGAGCCCTTACGGAGATCACACAGCACACACCAACACAGTCTCCCAGTTGCTCACTCCAGACACCCTGGGAGATCCCTGTGGTCTGCTTTCTCTTCTCCTTCATATCAAACCCAGCCGTCCTCTGTCAGTTCCTTTTCCCCAGTGCATCCACCTTTGGTTTTCTTCCCTTCATGCTGGTGTCACCGCATAGCCAGCTGGTGGCACAGCTTCCTACTTGCCTGCATGGCCCTGGGTCTCCACTCCAGCAGGCTGTATGAGCTCTCAATGCTCATACATGGACTGGATTGTATCATCCCCCGCTAAACTCTTCAGTAACTTCCTGTTGAACTTGGAAGAACGTCCAGATTGCTTCCCATGGGGCTTGCATCCGTGTTCTAACGTGTCCCACCCCTACTGGCCCCCACGCTCCAGCCACTCTGTTCTGGGACACGCAGCATGCCCCCACCTGGGCTCTGTGCTTGTTCTTCCCTCTGCCTGGGTCACATACCTCCCAGATCTTGCGTGGATGGTTCCTTGTCATTCAGGATAAGAGCTGATGGGTCTTGATGCCTGCTGTGTGCGTGCATGCGTGTGCACCTGTGTGCACGCCTGTGGGATTGGAGTGGGCAAGAGAAGAGCAAGGAATTGTGGGGCTGGAGGAGACAGCCCAGGCTGGGAATGAGAACACACAGCAGATATCTGGTGAAAAGAAAGCCATACTGAAAGGCAGGCTGTGTGGTTGGATGGACTTGACTTCCAGCCCTCATTTCAGCCCTAAATGGCTGTGGGACCTCAGCCAAATTACTTTCTCCTCCAAGCCTCAGTTTCTCTATCTGGAATAATGAGATCCTCATCACAGCAATCCTTCAGGGCCATTGTGAAGGCAGCAATAACTTAGATGAAGGATCGCAGGCAGTGCCTGGCACAGCATCAGGACTTAATAAATAGTAATGTTTTAATTTTAAGTAGAAATCAATGTAACAGAGAGACATGAGCTGGGGCACAGAAGACTAGCATTCATGCTTCTGACTATTGTGTGACCTTAGGTAGCCAGCTGCCCCTCTCTGACTTCTGCCACCACCAACATCCCACAATTTGGAGGGAATGGGTATGTTTTTTCCCACTGAATCTTTCTGGCAAATGGGGCCAGAACAGCTCTCAGTATCACAAGAGGACCACAGAAGATTCATAATAGGGTACCAGATTTAGGCTGGGAGACTCGACAGTCTCCGTGGTGAAGACATACCTGATAAGAAGTATTATTTGGGGGACATCCACTATGAATTGTGCATGGTGCCAGGAGTTTCATACATAGATATAAAAACCTGAAGTCTGTCCTGCTGTTTAGGGGTGCTCATCCTCATTTTACCAATGAGCAAAATGCCAAGACTGGTGATTTGCCAAAAGCCATTAAGATAACAATTGGAAGCATTGCTAACTGACTTTAAGATTTAAAGTCTATTTTCTTTACAGAAACCACAATACAGAAGTGTCCTCTAAAGCTTTTTTTTTCCCCTCTCATTTCTTTTGGGAATATATGAAACTTGCTTGCTGATATGGTAGCCCCTAGCCAGGTGTGGCTGGTCACATTATAGTAACTAAAATGAAATGAGAGAACAAATTCAGTTCCTCTGTCTTACCAGCTGCATCTCAAGTGCTCAATAGCCACGTGTAGCTAGTGGCTGCCATATTGGAAGGGGAGGAAATGCAACAATTCCATCATCACAGCAAGTCTTATTGGACAATGCTGCCCCAA